GGATAACTTTGTGGGGGCAATTGTTTGATATGACAGCTTAAAAGTCGAAATTGCCCTTAGAAATTACTATATTAAAAACAAATCGTATTTGTTTAAAAGTTCGATTCGATTTTTCCACTTTGTCCAACCCAGGCCTGCCCTTTGCATCTTGCCCTTGGACGAGAAAACTGACCTCGTAAGACTCAGTAAGACAACTACAGTTACAATTAAATAATTGCAATATATTTTGCATTATCTCAGGTACCTAGACCATAACATAATCAAAACTGTAGAAGAAGGTGCCTTTTGGAACCTTGAAGCTCTGCAAGTCCTGTAAGTACATGTTTACTTTTTAGTGATATCCACAACGGTACTAAAAACTGTAAAAAAAAAAAAAAAAAAAAAAACAGCTCAATATTAAAAAAATAGAATGCGTTAAGTGCCATGAGTTCCTAAACTAAACTGAAGACTGTTATGAGAACTTTCTAGATAGAATTTGGTTGTGTATTCGCGGGGACGGATGAATGCCTGAGTATATAATAAATAGGTGGTGTATAATTCTCGTCTCTCTGTTATCTATGATTTTCCTTCTAGCGATTTGAGTTACAACAAATTGGACAAGTGGAGCAACGAATTGCTAAAAGACCTGCCATCGATGAAAGTACTTAATCTTGACCACAATAATGATATCGAGATAAAGAAAGCTGACTTGATGACCATGAATTACACTGTTACTGGAGTCAATGTCGCCGGCCATAAATGCAAAGTTTGYAATCTTACGAAGGTACTGTGAATGTAATTTGTATCATCACCCATGTTATTAGCAACACGGCTTCCATCGAACATGTTTATCATTTACATAAATAACCTTGATATGTCGTAGACATGTCGGAAGGATTCATGATTCGATGGGTCCTTACATACAAAATGATGTCTGATAATRCGTCATAGCAATCTAATGATTTAAAAGCAAAATCATGCACAAAAGTCAAGAGAAATCTCGTGTTCTCCACAAATCCATACATAGCATCAATGGTCAGAATTTTGTATATCTTTTTATAATCYGACTAAAGATTTGTTGTAGGATCCCCGGCCTGGGACCTCATTAGAATATGCTCCTGTTGTTTTACCGAGGAGGGAGAATAGAGACTCATTATTCTAATAAATGTTATTGTTGGTAGGTGGTAAATGTGACTAAAGCCATGTTAGTACAGAAGATGCTTGGTCAGTTTATCAGGCAGTGTATTTATTACCCTAACAAGCAAGAAGACCAGAAAGCACAAGTAGAAATCGAAAAAATACGCAAGAAATACGTAATGTATCGAGCCACGTGCGTGAAAATCCCCCCYAAACAAAAGTCATGTGATGTCCACGTCACAAGTTTAAAAACCCTTGAAAAATACTTTAAAGACCGCTGCTACCGTGGTGCACGTGTACTGAGGCCCATTGTGTTTGTCGCTGGCTCGTTTGGTTTTGTTCTAAACCTGTTCGTTGTCTCGTCGATTCTTTTTTTAAAGAGACTTCGTCATATGGTTCCTTTTCTTCTTGTCGCCCATCTTTCGTTCTGCGACTTTCTAACTGCTGTGTACGCCCTCGGAACRGCCTCGGGACACGAAGTCTCTCCGGACTTTCATGACATCAGACAGTACCGAGAATCGAACTCCAAGTGCGCAGTATTCTGGGTAATTTTCCTCCTTGGACAAACATTAGGCGTCTTGACTTGTCTCCTAGTAACAGTGGAACGTTTCTTGGCAACGGTKTACTGTATGAAGCCAGCGCTAAAGCTTGAAGCTCGAACTGTGTTTGTGATCCTGCCAGTATTCTGGKTGYTGGCACTACTCATAGCWCTTCCCTTACAGCTGATTGACTATCAGAAGATAACCATCAACTTTATGTGTGTCCTTCTCCGAGACTAYTCCAAGAAGAAAGGGTTCTTTGTCAGCCAGGGTCTCATGATCGCATACCTTATCCTCTACATCATCGTAGTRATTCTGTATTGYCGAATATACATGTTTGTCAGGAAAAGTTCTCGTCAAGTTAGTGTGAAGAGGGAGGCTAAGTTGGCTAAGAGAATAGGATTAATCGTCTTTACTAACTTTGTATGCTTTGCTTTGCCTAATCTTTCTATGCTCATATTCACAACCGCTGGCCTGTATGCACCTCTTGATGACATTCCTAATACCATCATACGTCGCTGGGTGCCTCCTATGTTTCTTGTACTTAATGCATGTGCTAATCCTTGCTTTTTTGCTTTTGGTAACAAGGTATTTGCGTTGGCAGTTAAGCAGGCGTTACGCAGAAAGATATTAAAGTGGCTAGATGATGAAGCGCTTTCACGAGCGGGCTCAAAGGTTCATCCTACCGAGATGAAAACCGCATCAACCGGTGGATACACTAAGAGAGTAGAAAGTACCGCTGCTGCGCATGCTTGATATGATGCACCTTTCACTTAATCCATGCATTTATAAAGCAATGTATAATAATATATGATAGTGACGTATAAAAAGTATTAACGCTGTAATAAGAGACTTCTTTGATCACATGACTTGAGTATAGACGTTTGTTTCTACCTACGTTTTCCCATCAAAAAAGAATATTGGAATTATTCGGTAGGACACTCTCCATTTTTGACAAAAAAAAATTCGAGCTAGGCATTCACATGACACGTTCTATTTAAACACTTATAATTAACAGCAATTATGGATTTCGGCTGAAAAAAGACGCCCAAAATATCGAGGTTTGACTAAAAAAGACACCTTCCATTGACATGATTTAAAAAACAGGCCCAAGTTAAAATCTTTAAAGCCCAGGCACACAAAGACATAAGCATAATCATAAAACGATAAGAAAACAAAAGGCAAAGGAATAAAGTACGTGAAAAGTGCACGAAATAAATATTCTTTACACAACCATGGTCTTAAGGGTCTCTTAAGCCATTAAGAGGCAAAAGAAACCAGGCTTATGCCTATGTAGATGTGTGAAGCAGACTTGAGCCACCTGTGTGTTATCAAAATTAGACTAGTATATCATACATCTAATGTAATTCCAAGACGATGGAAGTATTAAAATGATTCACATAACTACTGGATGTCTTGTGTTTTGATTCAAACCAAACTTATCGAATAGCCATATTTGGCATGATCATTCATGGACATATATTGTAGAATGCGAATGCATCATTAGAAAACATGTCATTCCGTGCAGCCGATCTTGAAAAGGTTGTGGTTGTTGTTTCGGTTGGTCCGCTACCAACATTTACTAGACAAGAACCATCGATCCCTTCCTCGTGAATAAGTATACCTCCCTTTACAATAATTTGTCAGTC